CCCCAGCTCCCACTGTCCCTCGAGGGGGCGGAAGCTGAAAAGGCAGGGATGGAATGGAGATGAGCAGGGGGGCAGAGCCAGCCAGGTTGCTACTGCTGCCAGCTCCAGGCCTCCCCCTAATTCTCCAGACCACACAAGACCCGCATCTGTCATATGACTGGGGGAGCTTTGGAAACAAGCCCAAACATCGGTGGAGTTGGGCCCACGTTGCTGAACAGCAGCGACACATGGCCGCCCCCGGCCTACGCGGATTTGACCTCCGTAATTGTCACTAGTGAAACGTGCTGAGATGTTGCATCCAGTTCTGTCCCAGGGCGGAGGTTAATTGCAGGCATTGGGAGAAGAGCCACGCGAATGATTAGCGAGCAGAAGTATGTGGGTGGTGAGCTCCAGGAGCTCGCTCTGTTTATCTTAACACAGGCTGCGAAGGGGCTCTAGTTAGTCTGTGCCATGCAATAGCGCAGTCTCACAGGCATGACTATGTCCAATGGCTGGAAGCGGGAGCTAGACAGTCAGCCTGGAGACAAGGTGTGACGTCTAACAGGGAGGCCGCTGAACACTGGAACAATTTCCCCAGGGTTGCGGCGGGTTCTCCACCCAGGCAATTTTCTAATCCAGACTGAATGGTTTCCTAACCGCTCTGCTCCAGGACTTGGGGTGAGGTGGATCTCTGGCTGTGATGCAAGAGTCTGACTAGATGCTCACAACCCTGTCCGGCCTTGGAATCTACACCTTTGTAAGGAATGAAAGGGTGGCATTCCGAAAAGCAGGCCTTGCCAAGCGCCCTTGGTTTCATTCCGTCAGGTTACAACGGTGGTTGAGACGTTACTTAGCGATCTAGGCTGCGGAAGGCGCTCAGTTAGTACCGCACTCCGTGCTGATTTGCACAACGCGCCCTACGCAGTGTCTAGGAACACGTGTTACATGGCTTCAGACTGGCGGCTGACAGGTCCCCAGTGATCGACAGGGAGTCCTTGCTGGATGGAAATGTTTCCAGTGGGGTTCCACTTGGCATGTCGACCCCTCTTCAATTGGCCAGTTAAATGTTACGTTTAACAGGTCGACCGATTAAACGGGCAGGCAGTCTGCAGCAGCCCTTCCCCCACCCTGCTGCTGGAGCACCTCTACCAAGGTGCGCCTGGCCTGTTGTGGACGGGGGCCCCTGGCCCCTGCCTGTTCTCCCCTTCTCTGCTGCCTCTGATACAGAGGAGGCAGCAGCACGGGAGGGTGGGGGAGTCTTGCTTGGGGCGTGGGAGTTAGCCGTTTGCACATGTGCACTAATGCATGCCTAGGCCCCGGCGATCACTTCCATAGCAGCTTGTCCTATGCTTGCTGGTAATTCTGCAGGGGGCAGTAGTTAGGTTATGGGATCCAACCCCATGTCCTGCCCCCAGTCCTGGGGCATGCCTCGGTCCCGAGGGCTTAAAGCCCGGAGTAAGCCTACCACTGCTAGGGGGTGGTTCTGCTTCTGCAGAAGAGGGTAGTGCTGGTTTGGCATTTAAACCCACTTGAATGTCTTGAGTGCTCGGCCAGTTCACTTCCAGCCCTGCGCTTCCTTGTGGTTGGCACTGACCACTGGGGGAGTGTTCCATGTGCATGGCACAACAGCATCTTCCTCTTGGGCATGTGTGTGTCTGGCACGAGGGGTCCTGGATGGGCTGGGTCCTGCAGGCTGTGGCAATGCCCTTGGCCAGAAGGGAGACAGGAAGTGCTTGGTCCTTCTGCTTCCTCACAGTCTGGACCCAGTTCTTTGGGTGGGCCTGTCAGCCAGAGAGCAGCGATCCTTACAGCCAGCCCAGAGAAGTGTGTCTCCCCCCCTCCCCCTCCAAATCTCCTGCAAGAGCGAGCTGGTCTCAGTGAAGCCATTGGCCAGGCATGTGCTACCAGTCTCCCTCCTTCCTCAGCGAGGTGCTGGCTGCAGAGTCGGTGGCATGTCTGAACAAAGCGCTGGGCCACCTTCGGGACATCTGGGAGGAGATTGGGATCCCGGAGGAGCAGCGGCTGCAGCGCACAGAAGTGGTGAAGAAGCACATCAAGGTGAGTGCTCTTCCCTCGAGCACCCTTTGCTCTGCCAGAGACGCGGGAAGGGACCAACAGACCCGCCGTGCGCACCAACGCACCAGGGGAGCAGCTGTTCTGCCTTGGCAGGGAGGGGCTGGCGGGGAAGGGGGTGACAACATCAGAACGGCACTTTGGGTCAGCCCACGGGTCCAGTCTGCAGTGGCCAGTGCATGTGGGACCCGTTCCAAACCCCTCATCATTTTAGTTGCTTTTTTCTGAACCTTTTAAAATGCCAAAATGTCTTTTTTGAGGTGAGGAGACCACATCTGTACCCAGTATTCAAGATGTGGGCGTCCCATAGTTTTATACAAGGCAGTAAGATAGTCTGGGTCTTATTTTCTACCCCTTTTTTAATAATTCCTAATATCCTATTGGCTCTTTTGGCTGCCGCTGCACACTGCGTGGATGTTTTCAGAGAGCTGCCCATGATAAATCCAAGATCTCTTTCTTATTAGTTGTAGCCAAATTAGCCCCCATGATACTGTACGTCTAGCTGGGGTTATTTTTTCCAATGTGCATTACTTTACACTTATCCACATTACATTTCATTTGCCATTTTGTTGCCCACTCACTCAGTTTGGTGAGCTGTTTTTGAACTTCTTCAGTCTGCTTTGGTCTTGCCTACCATGAGCAGTTTAGTATCGTCCGCACACTTTGCCACCTCCCTGCTCACCCTTATAGATCATTTATGAATAGGACTGGTCCCAGGACTGACCCTCTCCAGTCTGAAAATGTAGCATTTATTGCTACCCTTTGTCTCCTGTCCTTTAACCAGTTCTCAGTCCATGGAAGGACCTTCCCTCTTATCCCGTGACAGCTTAATTTACACCGATGGCAGCTACACCCCCTGGGAAGGGCCCACTTTGGGTGCCAGTGCCAATTCTTTTTGGGTGACAAGTTGCCAGCTCGGCCAACTTCTCTTGCTCTGGGTCCCAGGGCCTCCAGAGATGTGCCGGTTTCTCTGGTGTCCCCTGCACCTATGGCAAGGATGGTGGACAGCCAAGAGTGGGGAAGGGCCAAGGTCGGTGCGGGAGGCAGGGAGGCTGGCGGGAGGCCGGAGCTGCAAAGTGGGCTCTCCTACGCATCCCCCGCTGCTCCTCCCTGCCCACACACTGTCGCTTGCTGCAGGGGCTGCTGGACATGATGGTTGCGGAGGAGGAGAGCCTGAAGGAGCGTCTGCTGAAAAGCATTGCCCTGTGTCGCAAGGAGCTGGACACGCTCTGCAAGGAGCTCCAGCTGGACCCCTTTGAGGTGGGCTGCAGGGCCTGTCCCTGGGATTCCCTGCTGTCTGTCCAGCCCGGGGCTGTGCACAGGGCCCCCGCTTGCTGGCAAGCTGTGTCCCCAGGTCTGTCCCCTGAAAGCTCGTCAGCGAGCTGGGGGGAGCTCAGCCCTGGCCTGCCACAAATGT